TATATATATATATATATATATATATATATATATATATATATATATATATCTTACATATTATGGTACTATGTGTTTCGATGCATCATTTCAGACACACTCTCAAACAGGTCCCACATGTGCACAAACTTCATGCATGCTTGACAGCTTTAGTAATTTCACCTTAGCTTCCCCTCTCCACTTCTCACCCGTTTCTTCTCTCCATCTTTCTATCTCTCAGCGGATCCGATCGTCGGGGCTTTTGCTGCTGGAGATGATCCTGTGTGGCTCTCTGTTGCTTTACTTCCCAGTGAGTGTGTGATTCAAATCTTCTTTTCAGATTACTGGACTGCAGTTGAAATCATAATGGCTGGCTTGCACTTAGAAGGCAGAAAATGATCAAAAATTACACAATTTATGGTTGTTACTAGGTTAACCAACTGCAATAACAAATTAACATCTAACAAATTAACTATATTAGTAATTATGCTACAAAACTATGAATTAGGATATAAGTGAGGTTATTATGCAAACAAAATCACATTTAAGACGAAACACGAAACACCTTCTTAAACATTTGCTGACTAATACAGCACCATTCAAAAGTTTGTAATGAAGTAATTAACACTTTTATTTAGCAAAGATGCATTAAGTATACTGAATGTGACAGTAAACACATTAATAATGTCACAAATGATTTCTATTTCAAATAAATTCGGGCCTTTTTCTTTCTATTCAAAGAATCCTGATAAAAAAAAGTCAGTTTCCACCAAAATATTAAGCACTACTGATTTCAATATTGATAATAAAACATTTTCTTCAACAGCAAATCAGCATATTAGAATGATTTCTGAAGGACCATGTGACATATTTAATATATTTAAATAAAATATATTTAAAAAGCAAATTAAAATTAAAATAATATTTCACAATATTACTGTATTTACTGTATTTTTACAAGCATAAAAAACTGTGTTTTCAGGTCTTCATTTTATACTTCAAACCCAGCACTTTCCTGTGTATTCTGCTCCGTTGGGTCCGTCTGCTTGGCTTCGCTATTGTTTATGGAACTGTGACGCTCAAGATGTACCGGTCTGTAGCACTTCAGTCCTGTCATGAGATTTATCAAACTCAGCCCTCCCTTCCATCTGTCTCACCTGCACATCCGTCAGATGAAATGTTGCAAAATAAGATGCTATCTCAAGGCATTTAAAAATTCACTCAGTAATTTAATTTGTGTTTTTGAAGTCCTGCTGCCATTCTAGATATAACAGGCTGCCTACCAGGATGAGTTGAGCCGCTCCATGCAAAAAAATAAATTAATTAATTAAAAAAAAAATTACGCAGAGTACCTGTTTTCAAAATTGATAAGAAGCAAATCAGCATATTAGAATGATTCAAGATCATGTGACACTGGAGCAATGGCTTCTGAAAATTCAGCTATGCATCACAGGAGATAAAGATAAACTTAATTGTTTATAAAAAAGCTTATAAAATTAGTTGATCAATTTAGGATGTCAGCATGTCGGTACAATATGGAAGCCCGTTTCCGCCACTGAATTAAAAATAAAACAAGGTAATTGCGACTTTTTATCTCACAATTCTGACTTTCTTTTTTTCTCACAATTGCGAGTTCATATCTTGCAATTCTGACTTTATATCACGCAATTCTGACTTTATAACTCACAATTGCGTGTCACTCGCAATTCCGAGAAAAAAAGTCAGAATTGTGAGATAAAAAGTCGCAATTACCTTTCTTTTTTATTTAGTGGCGGAAACGGGCTTCCATAGTACAATGATTTGAATCGCTCTGTGTAAAATATTTGGTCATGCCCATTTTTTTTTTAAATGACCCCGTTATAGCTAACCAAAGCGTAAAGGTCAAAAAATTTTTGATAATTATTGACCTTGAGAGTCAGAGAAGCTGTGGTTTTTAGAGGATGTGCAAAAAACCTAAGACTAGTTCGCAAAAGTAGGTTTTTCACAATCTCAAATAGTTAATAAAAGATTTAATTGACAGCAGTGGTTCTTGAGGCAAAGTTGTTCACAGTGAGGAGGTCTATCGTATCGTATTATGTTTCTGTATGTGAAATGCTGCGTGATTACAGAGGTGTAAAACTCGTTAACACCACCCGTTGGACGATTTCTTTCAAACTTGTCACAGACCTTTAGGGCCAAGAGACAAACAGGCCCACTGAGTTTTGTTCCAATCAGCTTCCATTAACCTTGTCTAATAGGTGCTCAAATTTCATTAGCCGATGACGGCCATGTTTTTTTAAATACGCATATGTCCTCATAGATGCTTGTGACACTATGGACAAAGACACTGCATACCAATTTTCAAGTTGATCGGACTAGTTATAGCCATTTTGGGCGAAGATATCTCAGTTAACTCTCAAGAGTTATAGGCATTTTAGTAAAAGTAGCTCCACCCCTTTCGAACATTTTGGCATCCCGTCGCAACGATGAGTTGAAAGTTCAACTTTTTTTGTCCACTGTGAGCCAAGGATTCCAACAATATAAGGCACTTAAAAGTTTATGAGTTATGAGCCATTTCGTACTTTTGATTGCTGTAGCGCCACCGTCAGGCCGATTGGGGAGAGCCTTGGTGACATTGTAGATGGTGTGAGTACTACCATCCCTCCAAGTTTCAAGTCTCTGCGACTTACGGTTTGGTCTGCCTGATCCCTTTTAGGTGAAGAATGCTGATCTGTGGCCATTCTATCAATTACAATAGGGTTTCAGCACTGCGCGCTTGAACCCCTAATAACAATATTCATAATGTTCCTCCATGAGTTGGCCCATTCCATGTAAAATAAAACGGCAAACCTGATAAAGTAACTTAAACTCCCAAAATGAATCAGCCTACATGGTCACATGTGTTTCCAGGGTTCTGAAGGTGTTTCTGTCGCGTACGGCCCAGAGAGTGCCATACATCACCACCACAGGTGTGCTGAGGATGCTGGGAGTTATAGTGCTTACTGTCAGCTGGTTCCTGTGTGCGTGGACCGTGGGCGTCCTTCAGAATCGACACAGGAATGCTCCACTGCTGATCATTTCCACCACCTCAGAAGGACAAGGCTTCAATGTCTGCGACCTGGACCGGTGGGACTACATGATGGCTGTGGGCAAGTGATGTCATTTTTGACCAGTGGCAGTAGTCCATCGGTTTTCTTGAGTGTCTGGCAGAGAGATTAACTGAAACTGGGGCACATTAGTAGATCAGACAAATGAAAGGATGAATGGTCCTGGATAATTTAATTTAATGTTCTTTGAAGCATTTAGCTGATGATTTGAACACCGTTAACCGCTGTCATTGGATATGATTCAGCATTAACCACTACCTACCATACTAATAACACACCACTACAAATAATAAATGTATAATATTTTTTACATTAAAAAGCAACAGTGGGCTCAAAATTAGAACTGATGCAACTGTCTGTAGATCACATTTATTTATTTAAGTCTCATTTAAAGAGTAACATTTTTGGGTAAAGAAATAAGTTTGGTCGGCATGTAGTCAAAACTATTTCATTTGACAAGCAAACCATAAAACAGTAAACTATATCACAGAGAGGACTTCCATAAACCCTCATAACCATGCGATTTATTTCTACATTTATATTTCGACCTTGGAAAAGCAACTTTCGTTTGGATCAAATGGAGTAACCCTAAGAAAACATGATTTATGATTTACATAATACAAAAAAAAAAAAAAAAAGTCAAATTGTCCTTACACCTTTTTTCCCTTCATAAAAAGGACAAAGACAAAGGCAGGATATTTCGCTGCCTTATTGCTGTTGTGTATATTTGTGTATGTGACAAATAAAAGCTTTAAAGTTAACAAAAAGTTGTTTTTCTCTCAGCGGAGCTGTTATTTCTGTGCTGGGGCAGTTTCCTGTGCAGTGCAGTGAAGACGGTACCTTCAGCATTTCACGAACCACGTTACATGAGCATCGCAATCCACAATGAGCTACTGCTCTCCTCCGCGTTTCATCTTTTCAGGTGGGGGAATAAAGTTGTTCTGATTTAACACTAATCATAAGAGGTTGCCCTATTGACTTCTTTGTCTTTGTATCTTTCAGATTTGCAAGACCATCAATTCATCCTGACTGGATGCTCTTGCTGTTCTTCACTCACACGCATGTCACAATTACTGTAACGCTCGGCCTGCTTTTTGTACCCAAGGTACTGTCGAGAGTATCATTGTTTACTTTTGCAATGTTTAACTTTCAGTAAATAACATAAGTATTCAAAATAGATGCAGCCTCTATCTATTTATTAAGTACTTTCTGATAAACTTGCACACATATCACACATTTCTCATATTAATGTTATGTAGCCCTGTCCCAAGCAAAAACCAGCATTGGTGTTTGTTGCAGTTTCTCCACATGTCTCGGCCCGGCCGAGAGGAAATAGCTGCAGAAGTATATGAGGATGAGGTGGACTTGCGACACTCGTGTTCTTACCTCAACAGTAGTTTCAACTCAAATTGCTGGAGTGACCACAGCCTGGACCCTGATGACATTCGGGTAAAACATCTTGCCCTGCAGCAGCCCTACTAACTCGCACATGCTCACACTTCCATATTAAGAAAATCAAACACACTAACACTTTATGGCATTGCATATTTATGAATTACATAAAAAGCATAAATTTGACCTTTTCTTTTACAGTAAATGTACTCATATAAACTAAGTCTAAAATTTGATACTAACTTTTCATAAACATTTACTAAACAATAATGACAAGATAAAAGAAGCTAGTTTAGCTTTTTGTCTTTATTTTATGGGAAAGAGTACAGCAAGGGGTGAGAGAGAGGGGAATGGGATTGGGACAAGACCCAGGTTGGACTCAAACCTTGGTCCCCATGAGCCAACATGTCCTCAGCAATTTTATTATTAAACATCACTTTCAAAAAATTACAGAATTATTACCGATGTTGGTCTTCTCCTCCTCCTCTGCCTTTACTTGCCCTCTTCTGAAATACTACCCTATAACTAGGTGCCTCTTGAACATCATGCTGTGGACATACCATCACAAAAACCATCCTACTGTACTGTTCCCTCCAGCTTTCCTCAACTGAAACCCTTTTTCTCCTCTGCACCAGGATGAGCTGAAGAAACTGTATTCTCAGCTGGAAGTCCACAAGACCAAGAGGATGGCAAACAGCAATCCCCACCTTCCGAAGAAGCGCAGTTCTCGCCTCAGCATTGGACGGTCCCTTATAAAACGGATCAGTGAGATCCCAGAAAGTTTAAGCAGGCAATGCAGTCGTGAAGATAAGGATGTCAATGCTGCAATAGGAAGTATAACCCGATCAGGATCTTATTACAAAAGTCATCAGACCACAAGCATTAACAAGATAAATGAAACTTTAATGCAGCCCTCTCCAAAGCTGCGGAAGTCCCATAGTGCCTATGATTGTACCCCAGAAAGGGAGGTCTCCCTATTAAACTCCTCCATAAGGAGCAAACAGAAAAGGGTTTCACTGCATTCTGACTCAGGATCCATCAACGCAACATTGCTGGTCTGCAAGTCTGCCAGTGCCCACAATCTATCGGTAGACACTAACCTTCTACTTCCAGAGCCCAGCAGGTTTCAAAAGTCACTTAGTGTCATAGAACGCAATGACCATCGCTCTGTGACTCCTTGTAGAAGCACTGGAAATGTGTCGCTTGCTGGCAAAGCTGCCCCAGCAGATAAGCCCCAGCTAACTGTGGATGTTGATATAAAGAGGCAGACTTCAAGTGCCTTGCTCTCAGAGTCATTTGACAAGGCCGAGGTCTGCCCGTGGGAGGTTCCAGAGGAGCTCCCTGCAAACAAGAACCAAAAACATGTCACATATTCCATTTCGAAACAAGAAGAACCCAAATCACCTGGTGCTACCTCGTCACCAACGATGCTATATGTTTGTCCATGGGAATTCTTGCCACCGCCTACTCCTCCTGCAACAGAAACTGGGAATGGTATTCAGTCAGATGTTGATTCCACAAAACCCAAGCCTCTGATCTCCTGTAGCGCTCCAGGGTCGCCACACACAATCTCCGGCAAGCCAAAGGACTTTCAGGTTTTATCTTTCCGCTCCACTACCCAAAGTCTCCTTGCAGCAAAAGGCATTGGAGAAGTTGGAAGAAGTATGAGCAGAGAGAAAAGCCTACAAGAAAGTAATGTTAGGGAGGGAACACTACAGAAATCTTTGTCTACATCCATGAGATTGTACCCAGGCAGTGCAGCTTCAGACAAGCGTACCCCTCAGACACACAGACGGGCTATGACTACCGTAGGCACAAAACCTTGCCTTGTCAAACAAACAACAATACGGTTGCCATCTACTGATTCTCCTGAAAGGAGTCCCAAACATTCTGCTCCAGTTCACATCTGTCCATGGGAGTCAGAGGAGGTGGTCATGGAGGTCAGGAAGCATCATTTGAATGACAATGTATTACAAAGACAATATAGTGACAAGCAAGTACTATCTGCGACAGTAAGTAATGATGTCTTCAAACAGCCTGAGTTTCAACTGAAATCATTATTGGCTGTTCCTAATACAGAAGTGTGTCCATGGGATGTCCCAAAACCTTTTCATCAAACCAGCATTTCTGAAGTCTGTCCTTGGGAGGTTGTGGAAGTAGAGCAATTGCAAACCAAGAGCATACATACTGATGTCTGTCCTTGGGAAACAGATGGTGAGCCATCAAGAGTCACTGAAGACAATATATATAATACCAATGTTGAAGTCCCTATGTCTGAAGACACCCAGAAGCAGGTAAATGTGAAGCCTGAAGCATGCTCTTCTTATGTACTAGACACAAATATCTCTCAGGTTAGACAGGGATCCATCAAAACCTCTAGTGACTCAATAAAACATGGTGAAAGGGTAATTTATGTTAACGCAAGACAAAGTTCAGTAGACCAAGAGATGCAGAGAGACGCAGGTTCAGAGGAACCAAGTTATATACTGAAACGAGATGAAAGTGATTTTCCTGAACCACCCCCACCTGTAACTGAAGTAAGCCCTTGGGAGTCTGAGCCAAATACAAAAGACGCTACAAGACAGTCTTTAAAAGAGACCATGCCTAAGAAAGCAACCATTTGTCCGTGGGAAGCAGAGGATTCTGGGAGGTCAGAAGAGAAGGTGGGAGCTACAAACAAGGGGCCAGTTCATGTAAATGTGTGTCCATGGGAAACAAGTGAGTCTGTGAAGACCACACAGAAACAAGAAAGTGTCTGTGGAGATGTCTGTCCATGGGAGACAAAAGAATCAGTCGAGACCTTACAGAAGCAAGAAGGTGTTCGTGAAAATGTTTGTCCTTGGGAAACAGAAGACATAACGAAGACCATGCAGAAACAAGAAAGTGTTCATGCAGATGTCTGTCCATGGGAGACAGGAGAGCCAGCAAAAACAATGCAGAAACAAGGAAGTGTCCATGCAGATGTTTGTCCTTGGGAGACAGGAGAGCCAGCAAAGACAATGCAGAGACAAGAAAGTGTCCATGCAGATGTTTGTCTATGGGAGACAGGTGAGCCAGCAAAGACAATGCAGAAACAAGAAAGTGTCCATGCAGATGTTTGTCCTTGGGAGACAGGAGAGCCAGCAAAGACAATGCAGAAACAAGAAAGTGTCCATGCAGATGTTTGTCCTTGGGAGACAGGAGAGCCAGCAAAGACAATGCAGAAACAAGAAAGTGTCCATGCAGATGTTTGTCCTTGGGAGACAGGAGAGCCAGCAAAGACAATGCAGAAACAAGAAAGTGTCCATGCAGATGTTTGTCCATGGGAGACAGGTGAGCCAGTCAAGACCTTGCAGAAGCAAGAAAGTGTCCATGCAGATGTTTGTCCTTGGGAGACAGGAGAGACAACAAAGGCCTTGCAGAAACAAGATAGTGTTCTTGCAGATATCTGTCCATGGGAGACAGGTGAGCCAGTGAAGACCCTCCAGAAACAAGAAAGTGTCGACTCAGATGCCTGTCCGTGGGAGGCAAAACAATCACCCAAACAATCTGTGCCACAAGACTGCACTCATGCCATCTCCTCAAAAAGGCAAGACAGTGCTCAAGAATCTGTCTGTCCCAGGGAAAATGATATGGGAACACCACCAGCAACAGAAAGCAGCACAAGTCGAACTGCCCCAGATATAAGTGAGATACACCCTTCAGACACAGGCACACAGACAGCAGAAGAGATGAGAGTTAACCCTCCTCTGGCTCGGCGTGATGCACTGTGCCCTTGGGATATGGGAGGGGGCAGACAAGAATCTATAACAGTGCATGATAATTTAGATGTCTTCACTTCGGAGGAGGCGATACCAGAGGAAGATGATGGTGATGCAGAAACTGCTGCAGAGGCCTTCATCTTCCCTCCAGACTTGTGAACTGCGAGGGCAGTATCATTGTGCTTTATACAGCTTGAAAGACTCGTTGTGACAAAATGGACCACTGGTCACACTTTTCAGCTTTATGCAGAATGTCCCTCTAATGTCATCAGCACACTTCACTGACTGTTATTTAAGAAAGGATTCCACCTATGCCAACTTTCTCCCTCTTCAGCTTAACAAACCATATCTGAAGACTGACTGCTATTAAGACAGACTGCTCTCCTGTGCACATTCCCTTTTGGCCTTACATTAACACAAACACCCTGTTTAATTTGGTATTGTTTTGTGTGTATTTGTGTTCATATGGCTATGTAGATTATATTGTCCGTAAATCCTACGTCACCAACATACCCTGGGTGGAACTAAGTCTGATTTAACACATTATCAGTAAAAAAAACACTGCACTAATATTACTAAGTAACTAAGTTAAAAGACGAGCTGTCCTGATATACACACCAATGTTGCTAGTCTTAAAAGTTGTTCATGTTTAACAGCTCTTTGGTCTACACAAATGTTTAGACAAACTTAACAAATTTAATAGGATTTTGTAGCATGTTTCATGTCTCAAATAAGGCATTTTCAAACTGGTTAATTTACAAATCTACAGGGTAGCACCATTGTATTTTTCTGACAAGGAGCCCATCTACAAAGTATTCATTTAATAAAAGCATAACACTTTACATTATACTATGTGAAATTACATAATAACACAGACAGTATGTGTGATAAAAAAAATCTAATATTGTTCTAGGGCAAACTACTCTTGATGTATAAAAATATGATGATTAAATTTGATTCGTTTTAACATTAATTACAGGATGTTTCATAGAACACAGTTTTAAGTCCCCTTATATGAGGATGTGAAATTAAATGTTCAGGGTTTACAACACACATTTTGTCTACATGTTTAATTCAACCTATTTACATGCTGCGTCTGAAAAATGATAACAGATATTAGCACAGGTAATGACCATTAGATTGCACTTGTAATTCCTACCAGAGTTCGATAATTGAGTTTACTTTCGAGTTATTTTCAACTTTTCAAACTAGGAACATAAAGACTGTGCTTTTGTATGAGGTAAGATTTTTGTAAGAACCTGTTGAAAGAACAGTTTCAACAGTAGCCAAAGGAAGTTTACATTAACTTCTGTCAATGTAAAAAATGCAACATTTATTTTTATATTCTTAAAAATGTGTAATTTGAGTGTTCTGAAATAAACGTTTAAACTGCAAAATACAAGGTGTTGATCTTCATCAAGTTCCACGTTTATTGAAAGTTACACCATGTTGATTACCACATATAACAAGTCTATATGTGCATGTACAGTTATTTAAGAGTGCCAAATGTGAATAAAAAAAGCAACAACCAAAGTTTTTTTTTTTTTTTATAAATACAGCAATATTTATTTTAATTATTGGGAATCAGTCTGTACAGAGTGGATCTGTGTTGGATGGAGAAAGGCACCACATTCAGAATTACTTGTACCACTGCACTGCCTTTGGCTTTGGTACCTGATAATGCAGATCCTCAAACTCCTCCTCAGGCTTGAGCGTAGGACCAGGAATCACGACAGTCTGTTGAAATCAGATGTCAGATGTGAAGTCTTAGTTAAAACATTCCACATTTTCTCCTTGATCCTATTCGTTTACCTTAATTATGGGATCTTTTGGTGGAGCCCATGCTGGAACAATCTTGCCATGAAGTCTCCAGCGCCCATAGGGGTTGACCAGATGCCTCTCCAGCACTAGGTATTCCAGGACGTCCCTGGGTTCATCTTCATCCCCAAGCATCAACCGGCCAAAGCGGTCATAGATTGCCAATGTCTGAGAGATGGATTGGTATCATGAGCCCAAAATCTGAGTACTCCCATGCAGTCACACACTTACACACAATTGTTAGTCTAAATCACTGACCTGTCTAGAATGCACACGGAGAGTCACCTGACCGTACAGGTTGCCCTTGCTGATCATGTCAGGACACCTTGCATGGACCACCCGCGGCGGCTCCAGTGACTCAATGAAGCGCCAGCGCAGAGTCTTATAACGGTTCCCCCGAACCATCTCCTGCAAAACATGCACACACACACATTGGACAATCTGAAATGCTGAATAAGGACACATTGGAGTCAATGTTATTTTAGTAACACTGAGATACTATTAAAGAATTTTTTTTATTTAGTTTTCTTTTTGTAATTTTAATTTTAGTTATAGCAATTTTAGCAATTTTGATTATACACATTTTAAATAGTATGTCTTTTAGTTTTTATTCATTTTTATTTCAGTTTTAGTTATTTTGGTCAATGAAGTTGAACTAAATGAAAATGAGAAATGTTGCTTTGGCAACTAGCTTAAATAAAATATGTTTAAGGGTTTTTATGTTTTACTTCAGTTAACCTTTACTTAATTTCAAGTAGATTTACATAGTTTTGATTGGAGTCTGAAACAAGGCTAAAACAATAAGCTGAATAACTCAATTGTGAATTCTGACAGTTCATTCATATACAGATTTACTTACAGGGTAACACCTCTCTGTCACCAAAGAATGAAGCTTTTCTTTGTTAAATCTGAGAAGAGGAAAGGAGGACATGTTTATTAATGCAGATCTTGTACGTGGGAAAAATGGAAAAGACAGTAAAACTTTGAAGCAGGGACTATTGTTGATAAAACAGGATTTCTTTCTTACTGTGTGAGTGCTGCGTGAGCATCTATGAACATTTGCTGAGCTAGTGCTGGGAACTCTTTAGTGGAGAACTCGGGGTCGTGGTCCTTTATTTTACGAAACCTGGTCAAACAGAAAATAGTACCAATATCACATCAGCATCTGAAGTATGACGTTTACAGAGAGTCACTGAGGCTGCGGTGGTGCTTACGCCAGCTGTGATGCTGCGCTCTGACGCAGCTGTTCTGTGCGCTGCTTCAGACCTTCTTTGGACAGCGTGGAGAGGCGTGCATCTCCTTCAGGAGGAACGTACGGATCAAAGATGCCCGCTGAAAAAAACAAAAACACATATGAAAAAGAACCATAATGTGAACCATTGTTAAACAAGTGATGTTGGTTTATCACCTAAACATCTAAAGAACAATGCTCAAGACTTCAGAGATGTTTCTAAATAAAATACTAAGCATATTACAAAATTTGATGTGCTAAAACAGTCTTGAACTAATGATTTTTATGCATTTTCTTATGCTCACCAAAGCTGTATTTATTTGATCAAAAATACAGAACAAAATAGTACCACTGTGAAATATTATTACAATTTAAAATAACCGTTTTCTATTTAAAAATATTTTAAAATGTCATTGATTTCTGTGATGCGCAGCTGAATTTTCAGCATCATTACTCAAGTCTTCAGTGTCACATGATCCTTCAGAAATCATTCTAATACGCTTCTCTGGTGCTTAAGAAACATTTCTGATATCCATCAACACTGAAAATATTTTTTGCTGCTTTGTGTTTTTTGTGGAAACTGCTACATTTAAATAAATACAAATAAATAAATACAAATCATACAAGAATCAAACTTTTAGTGAATGTTTCACATAATGATCTTAAAAACCCATTGACTGGAAGGTTTATGGTTAAAGGTTTGACACTGGTGTAAATTGTGCCAATGTACACATATCTTAAAAAAGTATATTATTATTATTATTATTAGTTGCAGTAGTAGTAAATGTATTATTACTGACTAAAGAATGAGGTGTGTCCAGACTTTGTTCTGGATGAGTTTACATATACAGGTGCATCTAAAACAATTAGAATATCGTGAAAAAGTTATTTTTTTGTAACTTATTTCAAAAAGTGAAACTTTCATTTATTCTAAATTCATTACATGTAAAGTAAAACATTTCAAAAGTTTTTTGTTTTAATTTTGATGATTAGAGCTTTCAGCTCATGAAAGTCAAAAATCTAGTATCTCAAAATATTAGAATATTTACATATGAGTTTCATTAAATGACCTTCCCTACAGCATAAATCCCGGGTATCTCTTGTTCTTTGAAACCACAACCACACAAAGGGAAGACTGCTGACTTGGCAATGGTCCAGAAGACAATCACTGACACCCTTCACAAAGAGGGTAAGTCACAGAAGGTCATTACTAAAAAGGGGTGGCTGTTCACAGAGTGCTGTATCAAAGCATATTAAATGCAAAGTTGACTGGAAGGGATGACCGCAAGCTTGAAAATACGGTCAAGCAAAGCCGATTCAAACACTTGGGAGAGCTTCACAAGGAGTGGAGTGAAGCTGGAGTCAGTGCATCAAGAGTCACCACGCTCAGACGTCTTCAGGAAAAGGGGCTACCAAGCCACTTCTGAAACAGAAACAACGTCAGAAGCATCTTACCTGGGCTAAGGAGAAAAAAAACTGGACTGCTGCTCAGTGGTCCAAAGTCCTCTTTTCAGATAAAAGTAAATTTTGAATTTCATTTGGAAATCAAGGTCTGGAGTCTGGAGGAAGACTGGAGAGGCACAGAATCCAAGCTGCTTGAAGTCCAGTGTGAAGTTTCTGAAGTCAGTGATGATTTGGGGTGCCGTGACGTCTGCTGGTGTTGGTCCATTGTGTTTTATCAAGTCCAAAGTCAATGCAGCCGTCTACCAGAGGATTTGAGCACTTTATGCTTTCATCTGCTGACAAGGTTTATGGAGATGCGGATTTCCTTTTCCAGCAGGACTTTAGCACCTGCCCACAGTGCCAAAGTGGTTTGCTGACCATGATATTACTGTGCTTGATTGGCCAGCCAACATGTCTGACCTGAACCCCATATGGAATCTATGGGATATTTTCAAGAGTAAGATGAGAAACAGTGGATCCGAGCTGAAGACTCAACAGTGCCTCAGCAGTGCCACAGGCTGATAGCTTCCATGCCACACCTCACTGATGCTGGAGTTTGTGCTAGAGGAGCCCCGACCAAGTATTGAGTGCATAAATGAACATACTTTAAAGAACTTGAACTTTTCTGTTTTGCAAATCCTTTTTTTTTTTTATTGATCTTAGGAAATATTCTAATATTTTGAGATACTGGATTTTTGACTTTTATGAGCTGCAAGCTCTAATAATCAATTTTTTTTTTAATTGAAATGTTTTACTTTACATGTAATGAATCTAGAATATATTAAAGTTTCACTTTTTGAAATAAGCTACCAAAAAAAAAAAAGAAGATATTTCACGATATTCTAATTTTTTGAGATGCACCTGTAAATGTGCAGGCGATGACAGCAGTTTGACGTGTACCTGTGCATGAGATGTTGATGGCTCTCTCTATGTACTGCTGCCGGACCACCACACCAGCAGCCCGGGCTTTAGTCTCCTGCTCGCTTTGGCTTTTCTGTTTCACATTCACCGCTGGAGGAATGAAGTAGCGCTTCTTTGTGCGGATCGGAACCAACAGCGGCTGCGGCAGCAGCGCCGCGGCGCACTGGATTACACCAGAGAGAGAGAGATTTTGACAATAAATGAGTATAGATTACATGTATATTTGACCTTTTACAAAAAGAAAAGTGTTGGAAACAGGTAAATAAATCCCTGAAGCGTTTATAATATCTACCCAAGTCTCCAGTTGACACTCGATGAACATCATTTCAGCATGCATGTGCACATTCACATTGTATATTTGCGAAAGGCGCCCCGCTGAAGTCAA